ATGGTACCGGTACAGGACATCGACCCTTCACTGACCCCCCTCCCCGATCCCCCTCAAGGTGACCCCACCCACATCCACCCAAAATGAGACATTATTACTATTGGATTCTCCAGGCCCCACCTCCTACACCCCTACCATAGTTGGAGGGGTGGTATGTTTCAAGAATATTGAGAGTTTGATCAGAATCCCAAAGTTTTATCCTACCCTACCCTAACATTTTCCTACAAAATATTACTTGTCGTGGGGGTGATAAAGTTTAAAGGTTACTCGCACAAGTGGAAGTTGCACAAGTGGAAGTTTCATTAGGGGTGGGTATCCGGGGTTCGAAAACAAAGTTTTAAATGACGGTACTGATCAAATGAATAAGAATGAGGTATCAGTACCGAGCATGAACATTCTATTTGTACCGAATACTCTATATCCTGGCATATTGGCCTCTCATTGACATTTATAAATGTATATAATCAGTAAATATGTATATTGCAACCGGAAATGTGTACCAACTCTGTAGATATCACTACAAATATAAAACCCTCGCTAAAAACCATAGGTTGCTGACCCTAGCGGCCGCCTGGTACAATCTCGGCTCTGATGAGATAAACCCCGAGATAGTGACCTGAGATCGAAAAGACTCCATTTCACCTCCCACTACTTTTTGGGCAGTCCGCCCGACAGCTTGGAGTTGGTAAAGCCATGGCTGCTGAACAGACCGCAAGTCAGTGACGTCGACCAAGGACCAGTCATCAGCAGAGATCACATGAGGAAATCGATCGTCGTTGAGCTGTGCTCTCCTTGCAGCTCGATGCACTTTTCCTCCTGCAGGACAACGCCAGTAGCCGGCAAACAATCAATCGCCCATTACCCCATCCCTTCTCCCTCCCTCGCCATCTTGCCCACACCCCATCCCACCCAACCGCACTTTCCCCCGTTCTAATCCCCCTTACTGTCGTTCCCATCTCCCCCGCCTTTCCATCTCCACCCGCCGCCCCTCTCCCAACTAGCAGCAGCAGCAGCAGCAGCAGCAGCTACACAACAGCACGCATTGCTTGCGTCCTCACCGTCACTTTGCCTCCGGAACCAACTTTGACCTTGAGATCCTTCAGCATGGCCTGTCCCAAATGACTCGAGCTAGCATGGCAGAGCATTCGCAGCACCTTTAGGTCGTCCATAGGGATCCCTTCAAACCCTTTCGCTACAGTGACTGTTTTCCCTCCCTTCCTGCAGGCAACTAGTCATCTTCGCATCATCCCCTCACTCCATGTTCTCTGCTCGCCTCTTCTCTCTCTTCTTCTACACCCTGACCCAAAACTCGCTTCCTCCCTCAGCCTCTGCGTCTCATGACGTTCTTACCCTGCTCTTGTTACTTCCACGCGGATCTTCAGCTGTGACTTGTCCGCCGGCTTCGCTGCAAGCGCGCTCTCCTTCGACGGCCTTGCTGTGGCTTTCTGTACGGTCACTTTGCCCTTCCCCTTCTTAGCAGGCAGAGATTCCTCCTCGAACGAGCTCCAACTCGTCATCCCCTTCTTCAGCTTCTCCGCAAGCGCCTGAAGGCGTCAGCAGCAGAAGTAAGGAGGAGGCACAGTCGACGGGAGTTGTCACCTGAAGATCTTCGTTGCTCGAGCCTGGGAAGATGCAAGAGAAACTCAGCTCATCGTCATAGGGGATGGTTGACTCCTTCACCTCCTTGCGACGCTCTCAGGGCAAGACTTTGTTGCCCTACGTTGGGTGACAGCAGGAATGCGGTGCAAAGTGACAAGAGTTGCAAGAAAAGGAGGAGTCTGAAGGGTAACATTGTAAATACGATGGCCTCGGGTGGTTTTTGCTCCCCTCAGTACATTCCCTCCTCGACCGTGATACCAGTTAACTGAAGAACAAGTTGTCAGGCTGAAGGAACAGGCCTTGCACTCTTTCATTGATGCAAATTATGGATAGAAGGAGAGCTTCCATGGAAGTCGAGAGAAGCCAGACTGTGATGAGCACGGTTGCTACAAGGACGAGAGCAGAACATGAGGAGGAATAAACGTGTAGAAGTAATCTTGATTTCTATTGCTAGTGTATCTCTGACCTTTACTTTACCGCAATGATCTGTTCCTCACCTTTCCTTTTCTTCACCTTTCCCTGTCTCCCAATGTCTCCTCTTCTCTCCTTTCCCCCTTCCCTCTCCCTTCCCTCCCCGCCCCCCGCCCCAAATCCGTTTATCACCTATCGCCCGCGCTTTCCCTCCTCATTTGCCTTCTTTGTTCTTCATCGTCCTTCTCTCCTCCTCTCCTTCTTCCTCCTCTCTCCCTCCTGCTCCTCTCCCCACTGCATCGCACGCGCAGCATTTCTTTTATAACCAGACCTACCCTATGAGGCGAAGGTACGGTACTGCATTGGGCACGTGAAGTTCAGGTCTGCCAGCTTCACTGGTGCTGAATGCAGTGCAGAATGCAGTGCCCAATGCAGCAGCCAATGCAGGCAGAATGCAGAACACAATGCGGAACCGTCATGCTAGGAAGCAGCCAGGGAGCCGGGAACCATGGAGACAAGGAGATGGAAGATGGAGGAGAGGGAGAGGGAAGGGAGAAGAGATCAAGAAGAAGTGAGGAGGGAGCGGGGGGGAGGCGGAGGGGGGGGGGTGGGGGGGGGAGGGGAAGGAGTCGAGGAAGGTAGG